CTCACTCCAAGCTCTGCTTCCTGGGTTCACGCCATTCTCCTGCCTCAGCCTCCCAAGTAGCTGGGACTACAGGCGCCTGCCACCACACCAGCTAATTTTTTGTATTTTTAGTAAAGACGGGGTTTCACCGTGTTAGCCAGGATGGTCTCAATCTCGTGACCTCGTGATCCACTCGCCTTGGCCTCCCAAAGTGCTGGGATTACAGGTGTGAGCCACCGTGCCCGACTCTTCTTTTCAAAAGTAGAGATGGGGGTCTCCCTAAATTGTCCAGGCTGGCTTAAACTCCTGGGCTCAAGGGATCCTCCTGCCTCAGCCTTCCAAAGTGTTGGGATTACAGGCGTGAGCCACTGCACCCAGCCCCTAGTGGCTCTTTTCTTTTCTTTCTTGTGATATTCCTTCTGGAGGCTGCTGTGGGGACTCTGAAGTAGCCCTACGAAGAGGCCCATGAGATAAACTGAGACCTCCTACCAGTGAAACGGTGCCCCAAAGAGTTAAAGAAACCAATGACTAGCAGAAATTTTCCAGTTTGCAGGATGGCAGATAAAAAAAGAAACAACTTGCAGAAATGCTGAAATTCATCTGCTGGTGGGATTAACACGCTGGCTGAAATAGATTGGAACCAATATGGCCAACTGCAGTTTGCACAGAACAAGCTTGCTGATGTCACAGTGTGAATTTCCACTGCATGTTACATACTAACCACCCCCAGAATTTGCACATGCCCCCCATGAGGTAGCATGAATAGGGACTTGCGCATGCCTGAGCACTTTCCAGGCCTCCTCTTTCCTTCCACCAATCACCTAATCTCAGAATCCACTCCCTAAACCTTTCCTAATAAAATGACTGCCCTAAAGCCGGCACAGGGAGACAGATTTGAGCTAGCCTTAGACTTCTGTCTCCTTATTGGTTGACTTGCAATAAAGCTATTCTTTTCTCAAAAGCCTGGTGTCAGCTGGGTGTGGTGGCTCATGAGTGTAAGCCTAGCACTTGGGGAGGTCGAGGCAGGATGATCATTTGAGCCTTGGAGTTCAAGACCAGCCGGGACAACATAGCGAGACCTCAAGTTTAAAAACAAAAAACTGGCCAGGCGTGGTTGTCCACGCCTGTAATTCCAGCACTTTGAGAGGCTGAGGCAGGTGGATCACTTGAGGTCAGGAGTTTGGGACCAGCCTGGCCAACAGGGTGAAACCCTGTCTCTACTAAAGATACAAAAATTAGCCTGGCGTGGTGGCACACGCCTGTAGTCCCAGCTACTAGGGAGGCTGAGGCACGAGAATCGCTTGAACCTGGGAGGCGGAGGTTGCAGTGAGCCGAGATTGCGCCATTGCACTCCAGTCTGGGTGACAGAATGAGATTCTGTCTCAATAAATAAATAAATAATAAAAATGAACAAACAAAAGCCTGGTGTCATAGTATCGGCTTGTAGCACATTGGCTCAAACCTGTTTTGCTCTGTAGAATCAACTGCTAGCACCAAATTGCCCGCCATGTGAGTGTGAGCCACATAGGAGGGTTCTTGGAAGGGACTTTCAGCCCCAGTTACACCCTCAAAGGACTGCAGCCCCAGGAGAGACCCCCACATCCAAATCCTCCACCCAAATGACTACCAAATTTTTGACAAACAGAAATCATGAGCAATGAGTGACCACTGTTAATTTAAGCAACCAAGTTGAGAGGTGATTTCCTGTGCCACATTAAGTAACTGTGGTTACCTCTCCCCTTCAATCCCCCCGCCGAGGGTGGTAGCTCTCTCCTGCAATCATCTCTGGGTTACCTAAGTATCCACTTTTGGCCTTTCCTCTATCTTTCAACAGCCATGTAAAAAATTCCTTGAATTAAATGCGGCTGAGCATGGAGGCTCATGCCTGTAATCCCAGCAGTTTGGGAGGCCCAGGAGACTGCTTTGAGCCCAGGAGTTTGAGGCCAGCCTAGGCAAAACAGTGAGACCTTGCCTTTAAATTTTTATTTTGAGATGGAGTTTCACTTTTGTCACCCAGGCTGGAGTGCAATGGCGTGATCTCGGCTAACTGCAACCTCCGCCTGCCAGGTTCAAGCGATTCTCCTGCCTCAGCCTCCTGAGTACCTGGGATTACAGGTGCCTGCTGCCACATGCGGCTCATTTTTGTATTTTTAGTAGAGATGGGGTTTCACCATGTTGGCCAGGCTGGTCTTGAACTCCCAACCTCAGGTGATCCGCCCGCCTTGGCCTCCCAAAGTGCTGGAATTACAGGCGTGAGTCACGGCGCCTGGCTTCTCAAACATTTTTTTTTTTTTTAAATTAACTTGGTGTGGTGGTGTGCATCTATAGTCTCAGGTACCTGAGAAGCTGAGGCAGGAGGATTGCTTGACCCTGGGATGTTGAGGCGGCAGTGAGCCATGATTGTGCCACTGCAGTCCAGCCTGGGTGACAGAGTGAGACCTGTCTCAAAACAACAAAACAGAAACAACAACAAAAAAAACAAATTAAATGCCCTATATTTGCAATACGTAGTGTGTTTTTAAATTTTTTAATTTTTGAGACAAGGTCTTGCTGTGTCATTTAGGCCGGAGTGCAGTGGTATGATCACAGCTCACTGCAGCCTTGACCTCCCAGGCTCAAGCAATCCTCCTCCCTCAGCCTCTCAGTAGCTGGTACTACAGGCACACACCACAGCATCTCGGTAATTTTTTTATTTTTGGGGTAAAAACAGGGTCTTTTTTTTTTTTTTAGACGGAGTCTCGCTCTGTCGCCCAGGCTGGAGTGCAGTGGCCGGATCTCAGCTCACTGCAAGCTCCGCCTCCCG